ATTTTCACAATTAACAAAAATTTAGTTTGTGTATCATTCAGCTGTAGATCCTCAAATCCTCTCTGAACACATGCTTACAGTGATCTTCCTTCTGGAGGGTGACTACTTTTGTTCTCCATGGTCCTTGTGTATATTATAAAGCAGCCACCACTCCAAGCTCGCTCCCGTGATGGACTACAATGTCACTACAATGTTTAAATTTACTAATTTCTATTACGACTGAAGCCCATCACAGGGGGGAGCTTGGAGCAGTGGCTGCTTTATTATGCTCAAATTTCACTCCTAAGCCTTTCCATTAGGACAGATCACTGAAGGTGGGAGAAAAACCTGGAATCAGCCATCTTGCCTAATTCAAAAGGAGAATTATGAGCGGAGTGATATTCACTCAACCTCATAGTTCGAGCTGACGTGTGACAATGAAACGGTCACACGTTAGCTCAAAAGATCGGGAAGTGAGCGAACACATACCGGCGCTTGCTCACTTCTCGATCATGTCCCTGCAGAGAGCAGTGACTGTCACTCACGGCTCCCTGCAGGGATTCCCCCCTCCGATCCTCCAGTGCTGACTGGAACAACGGACGGGGCGGGTACAGGTGGCTCTGCATCTAGATAGTCCTCCCGTGACCCTTAGGAGAACTATGGGGAAAAACACTTACCCCATAGTTCTCTTTTAACAAACATCTTAAAAAAAGGTAAGACATTTTTTTTTTTTTATCATTTTTCTGTATGCTGTGTGAATAGGATCACATAACATAGAGGGGTTTTCTCAAATTTGACTGCAAAAGTGTAAATATGCCGTAAAAGTAAAACATCCCTATCAGAATTCATTGTACTTGTACCCAAGTTGCAAACAGTCCAAGTACTTATGCGCTATGGATATTGAATTTCGCTTATAAATTGCGAGCACTCCTTGGTCAGCGCAGTCACATGACCGCGCTGACTAATAAGAAGCGCTTCTTGGCAAAAAGCGCCTCTCATTGGTCAGCACGGTCAGGTGTGAAAATTTGTGCAAGCAAAATTCTAAATGCATAGTGCAGGGCTGTGCTATGGATCAGTACAGGGCAAGGATAGTGCCAGCGGAGGGGAAGGACAGTTCGCCGAAAGGCAAGTATAGCAGGGAGAGGGAGCAGGTAATTCCATTTTTCCAAATTCACTTGGAAAAGTGAACTTACCCTTTAACTGTGACACACATAAGAACATATTTCAAACCAGGAAAACCATCCAATTCTAGATCTATAACATGAAACGACATGACCTGTGGCTCAACTATCCCCTCATCTAAAGCTTAACATCTATCCTTTTCTCTCACTTTGTCCGATTATAGCCAAAAAGCCTTAAAACACACCGACCATTTAAGGCCCCATTCACACTGCGCGATGCGTTTGTCGCGCGATTTGCATTTTGCACGATATCGCGCAAAAGCTTGCATTGAGCAAGCTGGAATCGCTGCAAAATCCGCCCCAAAAAGGGTCCTGCTGTAGCGACACACGACCCGCGACAGCCGGACCCTTTGCCCCATTGCAAAGCATTGAAGAGCGATATCGTCCGGTATATAGCCGCGATATCGCGGGAATTACCGCGCGATAAATCGCTCAATGTGAACGGGGCCTAAGAAATTAATGTAAAGACACATTGACACCTAGACATATTGTATGATCCCTTACCGTCAGCTGTTCATTCATAATATTAAAAAAAACAAAAAAATAGAGGGGAGGGACCTACATTTTGTTGAATGAAATGGTGTCGCTTGTTTCCCTTCATGTTGGGTCCATGGTGAAGGAACAATTACCCTTTTTGTAAAAAACTACAAACAAAAAAAATGTCAGAAGCAAATATATGAGCATATTTTAAAGTAGCAATAAAATATTATATTTGTCTATCAAATCATGTGAAACAATATTGCTCTTAAAAAAGGAGAACTATGAGTGAATTACACTCATCCCCCATGTGACATTGAAACTGTCACATGTCGGCTCTATTAATTGGAGGAACGGACAGGAAGGGGTGTCAATCAGCCAGCTGGGTGGCTCTTGAGTATTGTCAGGATCCATCCTGGCTGTGGTGCTCTCAGCATATATTAGTTAGTAGATGTCCTCCTGTCACTCTGAAGAGAA